ATGAGGGGTTTCTCTGATTCCACACTGTAGCTAGGGTACCCCTATGAAGGGTTTCTCTTATCCTTACTGTAGCTAGGGTACCCCTATGAAGGGTTTCTCCGATCCTCACTGTAGCTAGGGTACCCCTATGAAGGGTTTCTCTTACCCTCACTGTAGCTAGGGTACCCCTATGAAGGGTTTCTCTGAACCTCACTGTAGCTAGGGTACCCCTATGAAGGGTTTCTCTGATCCTCACTGTAGCTAGGGTACCCCTATGAAGGATTTCTCTGATCCTCACTGTAGCTAGGGGACCCCTATGAAGGTTCTCTCTGATCCGCACTGTAGATAGGGGACCCCCATGAAGGGTCTCTCTGATCCGCACTGAAGCTAGGGGACCCCTATGAGGGGTTTCTCTGATCCCCACTGTAGCTAGGGTACCCCTATGAAGGGTTTCTCTGATCCTCACTGTAGCTAGGGTACCCCTATGAAGGGTTTCTCCGATCCTCACTGTAGCTAGGGAACCCCTATGAAGGATTTCTCTGATCCTCACTGTAGCTAGGGGACCCCAATGAAGGGTCTCTCTGATCCGCACTGTAGCTGTTTGGCCCCTGTGAAGGGTCTCTCCGATCCGCACTGTAGCTGTTGGGCCCCTGTGAAGGATCTCTCTGATCCTCACTGTATCTCGGGGACCCCTATGAAGGGTTTCTCTGATCTTCACTGTAGATAGGGGGACCCCCATGAAGGGTCTCTCTGATCCGCACTGTAGCTGTTGGGCCCCTATGAAGGGACTTTTCGATCCTCATCTGAGCTCGGGGCCGCCGTGAAGGGTCTCTCCGATACTCTCTGGAGCTCGGGGCCGCCGTGAAGGGTGTCTCCGATCGTCTCTGGAGCTCGGGGCCGCCGTGAAGGGTCTCTCCGATCGTCTCTGGAGCTCGGGGCCGCCATGAAGGGTCTCTCTGATCGTCTCTGGAGCTCGGGGCTGCCGTGAAGGGTCTCTCCGATCGTCTCTGGAGCTCGGGGCCGCCGTGAGGGGGCTCTCCGATCCTCACTGTAGCTTTGGGACCCTATGAAGGGTCTCTCCGGTCCTCACTGTAGCTCGGGGACCCCTATGAAGGGTTTCTCTGATCTTCACTGTAGATAGGGGGATCCCCATGAAGGGTCTCTCTGATCCGCACTGTAGCTGTTGGGCCCCTATTAAGGGACTTTTCGATCCTCATCTGAGCTCGGGGCCGCCGTGAAGGGTCTCCCCGATACTCTCTGGAGCTCGGGGCCGCCGTGAAGGGGGTCTCCGATCGTCTCTGGAGCTCGGGGCGGCCGTGAAGGGTCTTTCCGATCGTCTCTGGAGCTCGGGGCCGCCGTGCAGGGTCTCTCCGATCCTCACTGTAGCTTTGGGACCCTATGAAGGTTCTCTCCGGTCAGGGGACACCTATGAAGGGTTTCTCTGATCCTCACTGTAGCTAAGGTACCCCTATGAAGGGTTTCTCTGATCCTCAAAGTAGCTAGGGTACCCCTATGAAGGGTTTCTCCGATCCTCACTGTAGCTAGGGAACCCCTATGAAGGGTTTCTCTGATCCTCACTGTAGCTGGGGTACCCCTATGAAGGGTTTCTCTGATCCTCAAAGTAGCTAGGGTACCCCTATGAAGGGTTTCTCTGATCCTCAAAGTAGCTAGGGTACCCCTATGAAGGGTTTCTCCGATCCTCACTGTAGCTAGGGTACCCCTATGAAGGGTTTCTCCGATTCTCACTGTAGCTAGGGAACCCCTATGAAGGGTTTCTCTGATCCTCACTGTAGCTGGGGTACCCCTATGAAGGGTTTCTCTGATCCTCAAAGTAGCCAGGGTACCCCTATGAAGGTTCTCTCTGATCTTCACTGTAGCTAGGGGACCCCCATGAAGGGAATCTCTGATCCTCACTGTAGCTAGGGGACCCCTATGAAGGTTCTCTCTGATTCGCACTGTAGCTGTTGGGCCCCTATGAAGGGACTTTTCGATCCCCATCTGAGCTCGGGGCCGCCGTGAAGGGTCTCTCCGCTCGGGGCCGCCGTGAAGGGTCTCTCCGATCCTCACTGTAGCTTTGGGACCCTATGAAGGGTTTCTCTGATCCTCAAAGTAGCCAGGGTACCCCTATGAAGGTTCTCTCTGATCTTCACTGTAGCTAGGGGACCCCCATGAAGGGTATCTCTGATCCTCACTGTAGCTAGGGGACCCCTATGAAGGGTTTCTCTGATCCTCACTGTAGCTAGGGTACCCCTATGATGGTTCTCTCTGATCTTCTCTGTAGCTAGGGGACCCCCATGAAGGGTATCTCTGATCCCCAATGTAGCTAGGGGACCCCTCTGCAGGGTTTCTCTGATCCTAACTGTAGCTAGGGTACCCCTATGAAGGGTCTCTACGGTCCTCACTGTAGCTCGGGACCCTCTATGGAGGACCTCTCCGATCCTAATTGTAGCTTTGGGACCCTATGAAGGGTCTCTCCGGTCCTCACTGTAGCTGGGGGACCCCTATGAAGGGTTTCTCTGATCCTCACTGTAGCTCGGGAACCTCTATGGAGGAATTCTCCGATCCTAATTGTAGCTTTGGGACCCTATGGAGGGACTTTCCGATCCTCATTTGAGCTCGGGGAACCCTTATGAAGGGACTAGCCAATCAACAATCAATTAAGATGGTTGATTTTTAGCTCACCTCGTCCGATGAACCGGTGAGATTTTGCCGTGCGAAGCGTCCTTCGTCCGTCCGTCAATTTCATTCTGTAAACAACTAATAGTCCTGAACGGCTCAGAGGATTTTTACTTATTTTGACAAATTGTTGGGCCCCTTTCGACCCATGTGCGACATGTGTGTGAAAGTGACGATTTGTTTCTAAAAAGCGACCCAGGCGCGGTGCTTATTTCCCGCATATTATAGAGGGCCGGAGTTCTGACGTTAAACGACGAAAGACCGATATAAAAAAAGTCAATAAAACGTCAGAATAATTCGGACTAAGGGTCTCGTGTGCCTTTGGCGTCGCAGACTTTGTTGAAGGACGGAGTAAGTTTAGCTTGGGAGTTTATTCATTGTCCCGAGTTGAAGAAAACGATGATACCGATTTTGGCTCAACAACTAGTATTTTCGTTCAGTATACATATATAGCACGCATTTGTTTATTTTCAATATTGAAGCTTAGTCATTGGAAATATCCATTTTGATCCAAGGGTGTACGTGATCAAACATCATTTACATCCGTTTTGTCTTGTTAACATGGTTTTCATCCCTGTGGTTCATCCAAGTTCCTCGTGGTTTTAGTTTTTAAGTGGCCTCTTTATTGTTAAAATCTAAAGTGGAAGGGTGACATTAGAAATTTCCAGTCGTCACATTTAACGAAATGAACGCCCTGTTATCTCAGTCAACGCGGTACATATTGTGAATAAAATGTCACATTTACACAATAAACACCCTTTTATCTCACTAAAATCCGAACATACAATTACAAAAAACGTCTCATTTACGCAATAAACGCCCTGTTATCTCACTAAAATCCGAACATACAAGAACTAGAACGCTATCGACAATTCATATCCTACTGACCTTTTTGGCCGGATTGAAACGCAATCAGGGCTTATAGAATGGCGATTCCCGTCCGTCCGTCCGTCCGTCCGTCCGTCTGTGTGTCCGTCCGTCTGTCCACANGTGTGTGTCCGTCCGTCCGTCTGTGTGTCCGTCCGTCTGTCCACACTAAGGTTAAAAAGAATGATGAAGCTCAGTTTCCGAGTTATTATTTACTAGTATCCCACATCAACTAACCTTGCATGGCTTGTCTATCTAATGATGCTTATCACATGCGATGCTTTGGATGCTGCTCCTGACCTACATTTTCCGCTTGACTGACCAGGTTAAAAAGATTGGTTAAGGTCAGGCCCCATCTGCACTTTGGTAAAGAAGATTGGTTTATGTCATTTACCAAGTAACTACTTGTCCTACATCAACGAAACTTGCATGGCTTATGTATCTAAAGATGCTTATAACATGCTATGCTTCGGATGCTGGTTCTGACCTTAATTGTCCGCGTCAGTGACCAGGTTAAGAAGATTGGTTAAGGTCAGTTACTCAGTAACTACTTGTTGTACATCAACTAAACTTGCATGGCTTAGATCTTAAATGATGTTTATCACATGTGATGGTTTACATGAAAATGTACTGTAGAAATCCGGCCATATCGCCATAAGCGATTTCTTGTATTGGTCTGTAGAGGTTTTGTAACTGACTATATAAGGTATTGTTTGCATCAAAGAACGTTTCCGCTCAATGAAATGGCTTAGAGCTGCCATGGTGTGGTTCTTATTATCTCCCCACAACGAAAGTTCGAGGGGATGTATGATTCCGCCCGCCCGTACATATGTTACACTCTTTGGCATCGCTCTAGCGACTTCAAATTTCATGAAACTTCATACAAGTTTTTAGTATGACAATCCCTTGAACAACTTCGCGTTTCGGGTAACTGCGTTGAAGGTCAACATCACCTTATTTTCTCGCCATAAACTCTCCATGTCATACTGATATTACTCATTAAGGGAAAACGCTTCAATGAACACCCTCATAACCGCACAATGACCGAGAAAAATCGTGAATCATTGTAATAACATGTGTTTTTAGAAGAAACAAAGATCACAGGAACATTTTATGTAACAAATTATCAGATCCCGGTGTTCCTGAAAAGCCATTTGACAAGCATGATTAAGATTTTGTATAGTGTTATTATTTTCCTCTGTGTGAGTTATACATACTTGACATTTCAAATATGCCAGAGAGATATGACTTATGTGTATTATACACAGACTTTTCATTGCTGACAAACAGCTCATTGCTGAAACAACTGTCTCGAAATAGTGAAACGTCACTTCCGGTAAGCGCTGACCAACATAATGCATCTCTGTGTTACCGCCGATGGTTGAATTCCGGACCAGGATTCCCTCTGGCAGCATCCCTCGAGTGGGCCGACCGCGGAGGACGGGAACAGTGACTCAGATTGTATGTTTCACCGCTTACCGTCTGCCTTTGGTATTTCAGTAAACAATCTCCACTTATGTGTAATTATCAACTTAAACTTGTTGACAAAACCTTATCTATAGTTTTCCTGTTACAAGGCAGAAAACGTTTGTTTATATACATAGGTATACATCACTTATCGCAGTAATATTGCAAGGGATCAGACATAGTCCACTTGGCTGTCCGTCAACATTCCACGTGACTGACCATCAACACTACAAAGTACAAACCTACCGTCATAACGCAGATCACGGATATGGGAGGTACTGAAGCTGGTCCAACTCCAGTTTAAATCATTTCCGAGGATTAATAGGATCTGTTCTGTGAAATCTCACGGTTTTAACATTTTTTCTTTAAATATTTGGAGAATTCCTGGTGCGTTACTAATGCCGGATTTCGATAATTTATTTTAAAAATTCATCGAAGAAATCTTCTTTGAATTATGACTTCGAAACAAATGAATCAAATTAAAATATTAACTATAATGTGCCGTGTTTGGATGGACCATTATATTAATTTTTCTGTGACGTGTTGGATGTGAGCCATTAGCTTAGCTACGGTATCACATGTAATTTGTACACAAACTTTGAGACATCTATAGTTGAGTAAACTGTTGGTAAGTCTTGAGTGAAACTTAGGTGAGTACAGTGTTCTTCGAATTTGTATATGTTTAATAATTGTGTGCACTGTTTTCGGGATTATTTAACATGTTTCGCCGGAGTCATCAGAATTAGCATAAACACATTTTAGTATGCTATTTATATCATCATAGAAACCACAGATACAGAAATATGTTACAGAATAAATCAATATGTTCATAATTAACAAAAAAATGTAACGTTTGTGTGCTTGTGTCTTCCGGGTGCTTTCAAGGAAACCATGTTTTGTGGTCGGAATGTTGTCAGTAAAATGTTTAAATCTTTTTTTTTAGTTCTAACTTGTACATAATTATCAATTACTGCTTACATTTATAAATTTATGAACTTGTATATTTTTAACTTTTCTTATTAACTGTAAATTCTCTGACGTGTTTAAGCAGATTCTTCTAAAGATTTTAAACGTCAATCTACTTAATAGTCTTTTAAAACATTATCCCCAATGTGATTTTGGGAACTAGTGGCTTATGAGTCTTGTATGAAAACTTTCCTATATGATGTTAGTTGGGCATGGCGTCACAGTAAGAATGCACGTGTGTCGTTTCCATTGCAAATTCTGTTGACGGGCTATTAAGTAGCAATCAAGCAATTGTTTAATGTCAGCCATAACATTTTCCCAATTTTATCCAATTATAGAGGGCGGAGCTCTCTCACGGGCCCGAAGGGCCCGTGGGAGCGAAGCTCTCCCTATAGGTAACACGTATGTAAGAAAAATAAAGATTAACTTGTCTTAACTTGGCCGCCAGTCGCACGCGCTGTAGTCTCCGCCATCTTGATCTCGAAACAAGTTCTCGTTTGCCGAATCTCGAACAAACGTTACATTTTTGTAAGATTTAAAACTTATATCTAACTATAGGATACTTATATTTGATTTGGTTAAAGATGTAAATTCTCTTGACATAACGTTACCGGCTACATTGCTCTAGTTTTGAATGGTCGAAAAATTATTGTAACGGCAGTGTAGTCTCGGTCAATCAGACGCTTGTGTAGACAACAAGAGTCTGGTTGAACAAGACTATCACGCAGAGTTACGGTCCTTGCACTCCCTACGACAACTCTGGGTAGAGATTGCAGTGGTATATATTTAGAAAACGGAATATCAACAAAACAGCGTGCTGGTTGTCAACAAAAAGGGAGTTTATCACAGTGAAGCAAAATGATAGGATAAAAAGCATACAAGTATTTTCATCAGAATCTTTTTATTGATATTTTGCATGAAAAAAATAGACTGAAGAAAAAAATTGAATCCATACTGTAACATTTTCATTTTTGATTACTATCTCACAGCTATTCTTTATTCATAAAAGAAAATCTGTTGTTTTACAAATCTGCACGATTAAAAAATATATATACAGTTTTATGTGCTGAACTGATTCAATTTCTAATTGAGGAAACAATACATTTTCTCTATTGCTAAAACTATACATAAAGCAGAGACATATAAAGCATATAGTCAGTAAGTTGCTGAAACAAATGTATTCATCCACAATATATATATGATATATAGATCTATTGACTCTCTTGGCTATAATGATGGGTATTGAAAGATGACAAAAATTGTGATTTCGCATATGCTTCTTATTTTAATAGAAACTTCATATAAATCCAGTTTTTATAGCATTGAACAAATTAATTTTTTCCCATAAAAAGCACAAAAATTGTAAAATACTTTGCATAAATTATCTCTGGATGCAATATTTATAAATCATTGAAGTTAAGTTTGAAGTAATCCAAAGGGCTTATTTGTAAAGATATATTCATATATATATATGTATATATCTTTTCGTGGATATCAGATAACTATGCTATTATACATGATTAACAATATCCTTCCTAATATGTTTTATTTCAATGTCTTTCTAGAATATGCTGCACTTGATTTTTGTAATTGATTCAAGAGGTGCAAATTTAAATACTTATATAGTCTAATGAACCTTTCGCATTCTCACATTAATGTCATGTCATCATACGCCTAGGCGGAAAACTTCAAGATATCAAACATCTCGTCAGCCAAAAAAGAAATCAAGAAAGGAAACTTAACTGTTATATACACTGTATAGCGATACATGTAGGTCCGATTTAGTAATTTAACACATCACGCAATGCTTGAAAGAGTACAGTACCGATATTCCGATACATTTACAGTACATACTGGCTCCGCCCTCACTAACGGCCGTGCCGTAAAACATATTATATATTTGTGCTAATCCATCCTTTTATCGTTCCAGATAAATACTAGCCATTAAAAATAGAGGAAAACAGCCGTCATAGCAACATGGAATCGAACGTGACGTCAGACGAAATACTACTTGAGGAGGCAAATAAGGAAAAAGTCTTGGTTCTACTTCCGGTTATCATTACCGTCTTCGTCATCATGATCCTGGGAACTCTTGGTAACTCTCTCGTCTGCTATGTCTACTACTTCCGGATGCGCAAGACACCGTCGCACTACTTTGTTTTGTTCCTGGCAGTCCTGGACTTGGTTTCCTGCTGTATCGGCATGCCTGCCGAGTTGGGGGATCTATTTCTCCCAAATCAATTCAATTCACCATTTGCATGCAAGTTTCTTCGTTTCGTGTTATCCTTTACGATAATATCGTCTTGTATAACCCTGATATGTGTGGCCTTTGACAGATATTATAAAGTGTGCAAACCCCTCAAAGGATTCCCGATAAGGAAAGTCCAAATTCTGTGCGGCGTGGCAATCGCGATCGGCGCCCTTTTATCATGGCCAGCTCTCGCTATATTTGGGATAAAAACAGTGGAGACGACACATCCAGGTTTATACGGTACAGAGTGCTCAACGTCAGACGACATGGGAGGAACCGTATTCCCACTGATCTATTACGTCACTCTCATCACGGCATTTGTGGTGACGTTTGCGATATTTACGACGTTATACGTCAGGATAGGCATGGAAATTAATCGGCGCAAAAATAATCCAATTGGCGAGAGAGGACCCCCAGTTTCACGGGAAACTTTGAGAAGACGAGAATTAACCACGTCGATTCTTTCAGACGAGGAGTCAACGTCTGCGGAACCATGTTCTGACGAAGAAACTACACGCGACCTGCGCGCGAATCGCAGCAGTTTTTCTCATCTGCGGGACTATATTGTGCACCATTTCCGGTCTGACGTAAATAACGACTTGAAAAGCTCAGACCATCAAATTGATAGCAATATTACCAGTGCTATCCCCGAACGCCGGAAGAAAAAGTCAATGTACCGGAGCGTCAGAACAACATACATATTCTTAGCAGTTTTCATCGCATTTCTAATTAGCTTTCTGCCATATTTAATAGTCAACATACTCAAACATACAAAAACTGTACTTCACGAATTCAACTCCGATACAGAGGAAGTGGTTTATAATCTATGTGTGAGGTCTTTTTTCATCAGTAATTTCATCAACCCTATCATTTACAGTTTATTGAACAAAAAATTCCAGAAGGAATGCAAGACATTATTCAAACGATACTGCTGTCGGTGCTGTGTTAGAAGGCAGATGTCCGCTGTAACCAACCGGCGATGAGTGACACATGCTCCACGCACAGGGACCGGAGAATTAGTTGCAGCTATATTTGGACCTAAACTAAGGTGTTAAGAGAGTAATTTGACATGTTTTAGGGGTTTAAATAAACTTTCGGTAAAAATGCCCCCCCCCCCCCCCCCCAATGATGATAATATATACGAGAAGGGAGGTAAGCTCTCTACGTCGAGAAATCGACTACACCTGACTTTCTTGCATCAAAAAACACATTTCTAGTTTACCTACAAAAATATGCTTAGTACCGTTGGAAAGATGAATATTTTTTCTTTAAAAAACCTCCTATATTCACGTAAAATGTCTTTTCGTTCCGCAGACATGGTCTCCGTTTCCTCCATAAACATACGTCATTTCCTAGTTTCAAAGTTTTTCGCAGTCAAAGAGCCAGTTTTTGCATATTCATGAGCTCGAAGTTGACCAAAACATGTCGTGCTGATTGGCTGATTATTTTAGGGGAAAATGGCTGCGCTTCCAGCCAATCACACCACGGGTTTCGGCACGTGGTTGACGCCAACCTCATGAATAAGCAAAATGTGTCTCTCTGACTGCGAAAAACTTAAAAACTTGGAAATGACTCGTGTTTTTGGAGGACACGTACCTTATCATCATTGGGGGAGGCACTTTTACCGAAAATTGATCTAAACCCCTAAAACGTGTAAAAATATTCTTAACACGTTAACATAGGTCAAAATAAATCTGTTACAAATTCTCAGGTCCCTGTGGTTCCACGGCTCTTTAACAGAAATGTGATGTGCAGATTTTAGAATCTGGACGGTTCCTGCCACAATGTCCTGTGTGTTATCGATGTCTGGGTTACTACCGGCTCCGGTTTCGCTTCCTGGTACTCATTGTTATCGATAAATGTAATGTGCTATTGTTTATAGATAGATACTAATTTAATCATTTACAAGCCCAAAATATCTCGGAAAGTTATATTTAGATCTTTCCTACCATCTGCATACGACGCACATTTTCCGAGAAAAATTAGGTAACTATCAGGTTTGAAAGTGATTCATTCAACATGTTGAGACTATGTTGGAATTTTCACTAAGGGAAATATTTAGCGTTTCCTAAAACGAACAAAATATAATCTGCAGAATACTTTTATATAGAACGAACATTTGAAAAAAAACCTAAAAAACCCATACCAAGTTTTACTTATCACGCCGCTGTTGAAGCTAGTTCTGCTAATCGACTCGTTTAGTCCCATCTGTACATTGCAGGCGATCATTTAATACTTCGTCACTTAAATCAGAAATTTTTACAACTCGATCTTTATAAATTCAAATATTGTCTAATTTCCAGAACCGAAACCGGACAACAACGTTGTTCAATTTATGTGATTTTTGCAATAGAATTTGCTTTCAATTTGCTTTTTTTTAATATGCTTTTTAGATTTTGTTTTGTTTGTTTAATTAAGGAAACGTATTTACACGTAACAGAAATATTGCGAACTGACCCCATCATAGGCCCTCCATCCCTAGGACATTTCTATATCTCAAGTTGCAAAAGTTCACAGTTCAAGATTTCAAGATTTCAGACTGCCGTTGTTGCATTGCTCGTTCAGTATCATATTCAAAATAACCGTCGGTTTTACCATTGGGTCACCGTACTAGCTTCTAACTAAAGCGTTTTTGCAAAATTGTTTTTGTTTTTCTTTGAAGTGTCATAAATACACTGTGATGTTTAAAATCTTCCTCACACTACGATTCTATTGTAGTGATGGATATTTAGGGACACAATTTTGTCTGTCCAGCCAAGCATGGACCCAGTGTTTGTGTGTGAATGGTGTCTCGTTATTGTTGATTTATCTTTGTACTTGAATGGACGAGATATACTGCACGCCACTCATATTCCGTGACACATTTATAAATGACAAAACTAAACGAGGTCGAATGTCCCTCACTGATCAGGCAGATTACAAACATAATTGGTGTTCTAAACTTTCATCAAAATGCTGCTGGAAAATATTATCTTAATGCACCGTCAAACATTATCATTTATTTATGTTGAAATGTTTTTTTTAAATATTTAAATTGGTATTTAAGGATGTTTACTACCTAACTGTGTCATGTAGACTTAAGGAAGTATGCTATTTTACTTTGGTAATGAGACTTTAGGATGTATGCTCCCTTACAGTGGCATGTAATTTAAGGATGTATGATACTTTACTGCAGAATAGAGACTTAAGGATGTATTCTACCTTACTGTGACATGGAGACTTAAGGATGTGAGCTACCTTACTGTGACATGGAGACTTAAGGATGTAAGCTACCTTACTGTGACATGGAGACTTAAGGATGTATGCTACCTAACTGTGACATGGAGACTTAAGGGTTTGAGCTACCTTACTGTGACATGGAGACTTAAGGATGTATGCTACCTTACTGTGACATGGGAACTTAAGGATGTAAGCTACCTTAATGTGACATGGTGACTTAAGGATGTAAGCTACCTTACTGTGGCATATAGACTTAATGATGTATGTTACCTTACTATGGCATATAGACTTAAGGATGTATGTTACCTTACTATGGCATATAGACTTAGGGATGTATGTTATCTTACTATGGCATATAGACTCAGGGATGTATGTTATCTTACTATGGCATATAGACTCAGGGATGTATGTTACCTTACTATGGCATATAGACTCAGGGATGTATGTTATCTTACTATGGCATATAGACTCAGGGATGTATGTTACCTTACTATGACATATAGACTTAAGGATGTATGTTACCTTACTGTGACATGGAAACTTAAGGATGTAAGCTACCTTACTGTGACATGGTGACTTAAGGATGTAAGCTACCTTACTGTAACATGGAGACTTAAGGATGTAAGCTACCTTACTATGGCATATAGACTTAGGGATATATGTAACCTTACTATGGCATATAGACTCAGGGATATATGTTACCTTACTACGACATATAGACTTAGGGATGTATGTTATCTTACTATGGCATATAGACTTAGGGATATATGGTACCTTACTATGACATATAGACTCAGGGATATATCTTACCTTACTATGGCATATAGAATTAATGATGTATGTTACCTTACTATGACATATAGACCTAGGGATGTATGTTACCTTACTATGGCAGATAGACTTAGGGATGTATGTTGCCTTACTATGGCATATAGACTCAGGGATGTATGTTACCTTACTATGACATATAAACTTAGGGATGTATGTTACCTCACTATGACATATAGACTTAAGGATGTATGTAACCTTACTATGGCATATAGACTTAGGGATATATGTTACCTTACTACGACATATAGACTTAGGGATGTATGTTATCTTACTATGGCATATAGACTTAGGGATATATGTAACCTTACTATGGCATATAGACTTAAGGATGTATGTTACATTACAATGACATATAGACTTAGGGATGTATGTTGCCTTACTATGGCATATAGACTCAGGGATATATGTTACCTTACTACGACATATAGACTTAGGGATGTATGTTGCCTTACTATGGCATATAGACTTAGGGATATATGTAACCTTACTATGGCATATAGACTTAGGGATATATGTTACCTTACTACGACATATAGACTTAGGGATGTATGTTATCTTACTTTGGCAAATAGACTTAGGGATTTATGTTACCTTACTATGGCATATAGACTTAGGGATGTATGTTACCTTACTATGGCATATAGACTTAGGGATATATGTTACCTTACTATGACATATAGACTTAGGGATGTATGTTACCTTACTATGGCATATAGACTTAAGGATGTATGCTACGTTACTATGGCATATAGACTTAAGGATGTATGCTACGTTACTGTGACATGGCGACTTCAGGATGTATGCTACTTTACTTTGATATTGAGACTTAGGGATGTATGTTATACAATGTATAACAGATATTTCTCTATATAATGTATAACAGATAAATCTCTATACAATTTTTAACAGATAACTCTCTATACAATGTATAACAGATAATACTCTATACAATGTGTAACAGATAATACTCTTTACAATGTATAACAGATAACTCTCTATGAAATGTATAACAGATAACTCTCTATACAATGTTTAACAGATAACTCTCTATACAATGTAAAACAGATAACTCTCTATACAATGTATAACAGATAACTCTTTATACAATGTATAACAGATAACTATATATCATGTATAATAGATAACTCTTTACAATGTATAACAGATAACTCTCTCTACAAGGTATAACAGATAACTCTATACTATGTATAACAGATAACTATCTATACAATGTATAACAGATTACTCTCTATACAATGTATAACAGATAACTCTCTATACAATGTATAACAGATAACTCTCTATACAATGTATAACAGATAACTCTATACAATGTATAACAGACAACTCTCTATACAATGTATAACAGATAACTCTCTATACAATGTATAACAGATAACTCTCTATACAATGTATATTGTGTAAGGTGGCAAACATCATTAAATACTCCACTCTGGACCGAAACTTCAAGTCCTTTTAGCGGTAATTTCGTATGATAATTTCGCGTTTAAATATCTTGTATTTTCTTGTGCATTCCCTTTTTATGCTTAAAATATTTAAAAAAAATCAGTTGATGAGGTGTGGATTGATTTGAAACTACCGTTATTCGTCTAATTCCACTTATTTCGAGTTTGTTTGTGAACTTTTCTGTATTTTAAAGATAGCAAGATTAACGACATTTACATAAGTTTATTATAAGTTATCAAATCGAGTGTAATCGTTTTTGGAGCTGTTGCACACATGTATATTACCACTCACCAGTGAATCAAGTGTGGTTTACGGGGTTTGTGAAACCTTTTGCAATCTTCTTGAATTTTGTCCAAAAATTAGCTTTTTATGCTTTATTTCATTGTTTTTCTCAAGAAACCGCGAAAGCTTGTCATCACGGCTCTGCATGAGAAAATTACTATTTTTTTTCAGTCAGACAGAAACCCTATTTTTTGCACTGTTGTAAAAATGTCATACTTGTAATATACCGTCGCGTTTATTCACCATAAAGAAACGTTTTCAATCTACCATCAAACCTGTCTGTAAAGAAAACCTGAAGA